AAATGGGGGGGGACACGGAGCAGGACAAGCAGCAGAGCGAGGAGCGTGGCTCCTGCCCAGTGCCCAAATGAAGGGTCCTGAGCGTGGGGCTTGGTCCCCGCAGCTCCACACATGCACCTGGCTGCACACAGACCCCGGTATCTGAAGGAGGAGGGCTGGGGTGTGGGGTCAGGGGGTGTCCCTGCCTTCTGAGCCCAGAGGTGGGGACCCTGTCCCTCACCCTGGGGCAGCTGCAGGGTTTGAGTCTGGGGGCATCCGTGAGGAGTGGTGCTGATCACTGCAGAGCCCACAAAGCTGCTGCAAAAAGGGGCACAGCTCGGCCAGGTTCCAGCCATAGCCGCCCTTTGTGTGTACTGAAAAGCAGTCGTGCGGGAGAAAGTCAGGCTCCAAGGAGATGGAGGGGAGGAGAGTGCGCTGGGAGGTGGCCAGGAAGTGCCTTGGGTAAATACTGGCTCTCACAGATATTTCCAGTTGTTTGAATGGAACTTTTCTTTTTGCTGGGGGAAGGGTAGACGCACTGGCAGCAAAGGTGCTGGGTGGCACAGAAGCAAAAGTCGGCCTCTGTGCCAAAGGAGCAACACGCGGCTGTGCTGGGAGACAGGGGTGGTGCCTCTGCCCTCCCTCCTGCCCTGTGCTGGAGGACTCCAGCACGGTGACTTGCACCTCCATTGGCATCACCCACAAGCTGCTTCTGACTTTGTTCCAATTCCAGCTCCTGCAGGAAGCCAGGCTGCCTGCCGGGGCCATTCACATGGCCTCACGTGGCCACGCCACAGCTAACACGGCTCCCTTTGAAGGGCAGCGGTCCCACGCTATGGAGACTGGGGCTGAGCCCAATTTCAGATCAAGCATCGGCACGCAGTCCGTAGCAGCCAGAGCTGTGGGAGCATCACCACAAGCTGAGCCTGCTCCCTCAGGTCACCCTGACCATTTCACCTGACCCCATCAGGGACCACCATAAATCTGCCTCCTGGGAGAAAAGACACAAAAATGACCAGCAAGCAGAGTATCGCTGCCTCCTTCCCGGCCCTTGCTGGACCTGCTCTTCACTCCTTCCTCCAGCTAGTCGGGGATGAGGCTCTCCTGTGGGTCAGGTGCTGCCCCCTTGTCCCATGGTCACGCCTCTGGTGTGACTCTGATGAGGAAAGGACATTTTAGGCCATTTTCTTGTAACTGTTTATGTAACAAAGGGACTTTTGTCTGCATTTGACGTTATCAGGAGGTGAACAGAGTTATTTTTAGGTTGATGCCTGCACTTGTTGATGTTATTGGATTATCTTGAAGTCAACAGGCCTTGCTGCTGTTTCAAAGACCCTTGCAGAGCAAGGGGGGAGGAAATCCTTGTGTTGTCCCTTACAAGGGAAACTTGCCCTTGGGCTCAGGCCAGCAGCAGTCTCTTGGCCTGATAAGGATTTATTGCTCAAGCTGGGAAGTTCCTAAAAGCCATAAAAGTTCCTAAAAGCTGTGCGAGCACCCACCCTGGAGCCTGTCCATGTGAGTGTGAATTTGTTGGTAACCCTAGGTGGTTATCTAGGGTTGTTTCAGTCCCTCGGGGGTATCCCCATGTCTCATCTGGGCTGGGCTGCAGGCAGCCCTTGCATGGCCTGAAGCCTTGCAGGGAAGAAGACCTGTCCCCAAATGGTGTGAACGCTTTGGGTGGGTGAGGAGCAGGGCAGAGGCACAGCTGTGGGAGCCGGGGTTCAGCCAGGCAAGGATGTGTCTTGATGAGCTCACCACCAGGCTGCTGCTGGCAGGCAAGGATATCTCAGTCATCTGAAGCCTGAGGCATGGGCAACAGAGGCAGGAGACCCGCTGGGCTGTGCCAGTCCTGCTGGAAAGCAGCCACGGCCCCAGCCCAGAGCACGGATCACCTCCCCCAGCCCCCCTCCGAGATCCTTTACCCTGCGTTATTGCTTCCACCTGACGTGGAAGCTTGGGAGCCACCTCCCTTATCTGGAGCCTGTGCCAGGGTGGCGTGTTCCCCTCAGGTGGCACAGGGACAGGAGCTGCTGCTGTGGTTGCTGTGGCTGGCTCAGCTCGGGCTGGCATTGCTGCTCCCATGGTGTCCCCTGTGGCTGGGGTCTGTGGCTAGGGGAGGGCAGGGGAGGGCTGACTGATAGCTCTGACGTCCCTGGGTGCAGTGATCCCTGACGCCTCTCATCCCCCCCCTGGGCCCACGCTGGTTCTCCAGGGCTTGGGGCTGGCTCCTGCCTCCCTGGCTGCCTGTTGCAGGTAGGGGTGCTCGTCCCTGGAGAGGTGCTGCTGGGGTGTGAACCGTGAGCTGGGCTCAGCTCAGCTCCAGTCGGTGCAGGGGGAGGGTGAGGGTGATGCAGCCACATCACAGAGCAGTGCTGGTAGGAGGGGATGTCTGGAGGTCCCCGATCCTGCTGAGCAAGACAGTGAGCAATGCCAGGGCAGGGCAGCCGTGCCTGTGGTGGGCTGAGTCTGGGAAAGCTCCAGGGATAGAAATCCCAGTGAACCATCCCAGGGTGCACAACTTTCTTAGCAAAGACTTTCCTCTTGTGCCCAATCTGAGCCTCCCCAGTCAAAACCATGGCAATGCCCCTCGTTACAGAACCTAGCACGGTCCAGAATAGCTGGATGCCAGCACCTCGGCCTCCCCCATTTCACAGCTGTGGGCTGCTCTCGCCCTGCCCTGCCTCCGGTCTGCTCGCCTCACCTGGCCCCGCTCCCAGCCAGTCTCACAAAAACATGTACTGCCCTGAGGGCTGCACGCTGCCTGGGCTTGAGCTGCGTCGGGAGAGCACATTTGCATGGGAAAGCAGGAGGCAGAGGTGGAGAGGGAGCTGGCAGCTCCTCTGGAAAGAGGTGAGGTTTACCTTGAGCAGCCTCAGTCCCCAGCTGCTCCTGGCTTGTCCCCCTTGTGTCCAGATCCAAAACTGCCCTGCCCATAGGTGCAGATGAATACCCATTGCAAGCCCAATGAGGGGCACTTATGGCTCTGACCCTGCATCTTTCAGCCTTGATCATAAAGTCGGCCTTTTACAGCCTCTTGGGACCCCAAAGGTCTCCGAATCAGGAGGCCAGATCTCCCCTCATCAGGGTTTCTCCATCTGGCAGCAATGACAACAGCAATCTGCTGGGTGCCAGGACTGTAAAACCCAACTGTAGAGAGCAATAAAATCATCTTGTTTGGGCTTGGCACTACAAACAAGCCGGCAGGAATGTCTGTGAAGTCAGAGTGAAACCGGTCCTGGAGATAGTACAAGGCTTAAGATGCTCCGATAGGACATGGGAAACCGGTGTTGGTCGGCTCTTCAGCAGGCACCAGCAGTGAAGTCCCAAATCTAGATCCCAAAAGGGTCTTCCTTGGTTGGTTGTTCCCCACAGACTTTGAGGATTTTTTCCATTGGGCAGGCACCTCAGCCTGAGGCTGGTGGTGAGGCGTGGCAGTGGCAGGCAGAGGGGTGATACCAGCTGCCGTTGCTGAGGCAGAAATATCAGCCCTGACTGCCTGGCACGGGTCTTTGGCTGCCCCTCTGCAGGGCTCAAGTGTGGGTCTGAGCCTCCTGCCCTGCAGGAACCCTGGCTACACCCTGGGCTGCAATCCCATGCAGTCCCAGGCTCCATCCTTATCCCAGCTGCTGCCCAGGTCAGAAATCCCATCCCACTCAAGGAATCAAATGCTGACAAAATACACAGAATCTTGCCTGATAAGGCTAAAGGTAAACAGGATCGGTTCTCCTTGAGAAGGTGAGACAGGCTGCTCCCCCTCCTGCCCATGTTTCTGGGGCATCAGAGAGGCCACACCAGCTGTGCACTCGGAGCAGGGAGCAGAGGAGCCCTGGGGGCTCAGCCCTCCCTGTGCCTCCAGCAAAAGCCCTGTGCCTTCAGCCCTAAAAGTCATGTTCTTTCAGTCCCCATCGCCATGCCGGCACATGTGTGGGGTCCTTGGGGTGCCCTTCATCCCTGCTCCTGGCCTGGCAGTGTGGGAAAACACCTTCACATTCCGCCTGGCTCCCTCGGGAGTGCCGTGCCCCGCTGGGACCCCGCTGCCCTGGTGCTCCTGGGGTAGCCTGCAGAGGGAGGCAGTGATGAGGTGATTGTTTTCCAGGAGCAGCCGGATACAGGAATAAGGCGCATGAATGCACCGGTGTCAGTGCACACAGTCACCAGCAAACTGCGTGACTCATGCCACAAAACTCTTCCCTTGGAGCTGGAGCTGCCTGAACGGGGAAGCGACTCCCCAGCAGGAGGTGCTCACAGTGGGGCTCATTCGCTGCCCGGCACTTGGCACCTCACCAAAGCCCAGGCTGTTTTTAATGGCCAAAGTCAGATGCTGAAGCGCTGAACCACGCACAGCTCATGGCCACGAGGTGCAAGAGAGCCCGCAGGACAAGGGCATGGAGCTGGCTGCGGCTGTGCCTAGCGCACTCCAGCACCGCGCTCAAAGACCCAGACGGGAGGGCTTTTGTCCTTGCTGTGAGTGGGATGGACGGAAACTCAGAGGCACTTTCTTTCCTTTGTGAACAGAACAAAGAACAAGAGCAAGTGGTTTCCTTGGCTTCCCAGAAATAGGCCCCAAGAAGCTTTTTCCCTTTCTGGCGAAAGGGAAAAGCGCTCAATGGAGTGACACGGGAAGAAAGAGATGTGCAGTGAGCTGACTCGTGATGCCTGTTTTCCTGCCACCAGAGCAGAAACTGGCAGCAGCAGTAAATGGCCTTGTTGTCCTGCTGCTGCCCATGCCCTGCACCCTTGAGCTGCAAACGTGGGGACAGAGGTACAGAGATTCATGTCCACGCCAGCATCTCCATGGTGTGACACCTGTGAAGTCCCTGCAGCCCAGCAGAGAGAGCAGAACGCCTGGCTCCAAAATCTTGGGTGAAGAAGGGCAAAGCTTCAGCTGGCTTGGGTAGCTGCAGGATAACAGAGCCCTGCGTGCTGGGAAGCACATGGGGGCCAGGGCTTGATCACCATCTCCAACCCACATTTCCAGTCCCCACAGTTTGTCCTTGCTATTTATTTCCTGCAGGCTGGGCTGTTTAAACCCTGATAAAGAGTTTATTTGCATTGAAGAGCTCTGCTCTGAGTCCAGTTTCATAAGAGAGAAGAGAGGAAAGCCAATTTATCTTTGCTGTCAGCTCACTTACTCATTTACCACCCTCCTCTCTACTGCAGAATCACTAAGCCAAAGCCCTTGTGTGCGTGATTGCTGGCGACTGGGGCTGTGGGCAGCCACTGTCCCTGACCTCACTCTTGGAGGAGGAGATGCTGGGGAGAATGATCACCATGACCAGTGCCTGCTGCTTTGCTGTGAGATAGAGGCTGCCAGTGGCTGGCTGTCCCATGTCCTGCTCTGCTCCAGCCCATTTGCACCCTGTGGGAGAAGTCAGTTCCAGTAAAAGTGAGGGGGGCAGAAGGGCCCCCCTGGGCCAAGTGTCCGGGGTGGTGCAGGGCAGCTGGGCACAGCAGTGGTGCTGCGGGTGGCTGCAGGCCCCTGGCTCTGGGCAGCTCCTTTGCAGCTCCGATACTTCCTTGGCGGCTCCTGGATCCCCACAGCCCCTCAGCAGGACATGTTATCTGGAGGTGCTGCTGTCAGAGCTGGACCTGCTGCGGTGGTATGTGGTGATGTACCACACGCAGATGAAGAGACCTGCAGGGGGGCGGTGGCACGGTCACGGCTGCAGGCTTCCCCATTGCCACAGTGGAAGGATGAAGAGTGGCAAGCTCGCAAGCCCCCACCGGTTTCCCTCCCCCCGACCTCCTTCCCTGCCCAGGTGCTCCCCACTGACCTTGCAGGGAGTTGAGGATGGTGAAGAGGTAGAGCTGGGGGATGAGAAGGACGCCGAAGCTGAAGAAGGCCAAGCCCCAGGTGGTTCCCAGCAGGCAGGTGAGCCCCAGCACCGTCGCCCAGTCCCTTCTCGCCTGCCCCTTCTGGCTCTTGATCCTCCTCAGCATTACTACCACGGCCGCCAGCATCAGCGTGTTGAAGAGCAGGATGAGGCCAGCATAGCACAGGGTGACAAAGTGGGCCGGCTTGCTGGTGAGCCAGCACCTGACAGAGAGACACCCGTGTGGAGACGGGGACCAGTGCCCATAACCCAAGGGCTGGGTGTGTGGCAGGGCTTGGTGGTGGAGGGAGGAAGGGAGGGATGCGGCCATCCCCGATCACCCCATGGTGCTGGGAGATGGGGCATCTAGGGGAAAAAATGCCCCTGAAGCTGCCCAAGGCCCACAGCATCCAGCTGTGAGGGGGCATGGCAAGCAGGTGCCCCCATCTGTAGTGAGGTGGGGGCCTGCAGGGTTCCAGAGAAATGTCCAAGCTGATAAAAAGTGTCACCTGCGGAGCTACCACCAGCTTGTGCTGGCCCTGGACCCAAATCAGCCTTGGGTCCCTGGGGTGCATGGGGAACCCGAGCTGCATGGGGAGCTTGGGGTACGGGGGGTACCTGGGGTGCATGGGGAGCCAGCAGCCCCCACACTCACATGTTCGTATTCTGGTAGCCGTCAGTGGTGCTGATGGCATGGTGCCCATAGGTTTCTCCCCTGAAGATCACAACAGCAATCACAACCAGCGTGGGCAGACCTGGGGGGCGAGCAGAGGCTGTGTGGGGCTCGGCGGGGGCAGCGGTGCCAGCAGAAGCCCATGGGAGCCACTCACCCCAAGCACAGAGGCAGAGCTTGAGGAGGTAGTGCTGAATGTAGATGTTGTAGACCTTGACGAGGAGGAGGTAGAGGTGGAAGGCCTCAGCACCCATCCACGCCAGGGAGCAGAGGAGGCTTCCGTGGAGCAGGGCAGCAGCAGCCTGGCAGAGCTCCTTGGTGCCGGTGGCCAGCGGCTTGCTCAGCAGGAAGCTGCCATTGAGCAGGAACAGTGCAGCCAGGAGGTTCATGTGGATCCTGGTCGTGGTGTCCTTTGGCCGGCGCCTGCAAGAGCAGAGAGGGCAAGGGGGTGCCGAGGGGTGCCTGCCTGGCAGCAGGGCACGGCACGGCACACGGCACGGAGTGGCTCTACCTGAAGAAGCAGCAGAGCAGGAGGGTGCAGAAGGTGGCAGCGGCTGAGATGGAGCAGCCCACGGTGCTGATGTAGGTGAGAGACTCCAGCACAGGCTGGCTCAGGTTTTGTGCCTGGATCTGCCCACGAGAGGTAGGGACGGGGTGAGCCACAGGAAGGTCCCACACAGCACCCACCAGCTGGGAAAATGGGGGGAAGGAGGGGAATCTTCTCGCAAAAAACACCCCTCATAGCACCCTCTGCACCCCCACATACACCCACGCACACCCCCACCCCCACTGAGCTGCCTGCAGAGCTAAGCAGGGGGAAGACGGGAAGGGAAGAAGGGTTGTGGACCATCAAGACGGCAAAGTAGGTGAGGTGGCTGCAGTGGCAGACAACGGTGCCCTCTCTGTGCTCGGTCTTGCAGCCCTCTCTGCTCCAGCTGCCTGCTCTGCCTGCGCCTGTGGGAGAGATGCTGTCAGAGGGTGCCCCGGCTCCCCATATGCCACACAGTGGATGGGAGACAGGCAGGGGCAGGCTTGCTGGCTCCTTGCTGGCCCTGCTCTGTCTTCTCCCTTTTTCCCATGGTGAGAGCTGCCTGGGGGCTGGCAGACGATGCCTTCAGGTTGGCAGCGAGCTGACCGTCCCCCCATCCTGGCTATGGACACACTTACCAGCTCCAGGCACCCAGAAGACACAGGTTGCGTTGGAGGCATCCTGGTGAGAAGGGGATGGAGGAGGTGAGAGATGGGAACAGCCTCTGCTCCCTGGGGAAGGACCACCCCCCCCTCCCCTGGATGCAAAGAAACATCCTGATCCTGATGCAAGGAGGGATAAATCTTGTCTTTCCCAACTCAGGAGGGAACACAATGTTGGGGATCCCCCACATCCCCAGAGCTTGGCTGTGGCCAGCATCACTGGTGCCCACAGCGGAGCTCTGCTCACCAGCACCAGGTTGTGCCAGAACTGGATCTCCACGGGTTGCCCGAGCCCAGTCACGGCCCTGTTTTGCAGGAAGGCTCCCAGGATGTGGTTGTTCAGTACAGAGCTGTTCTGCTCGTCCTGCAAGAGCCAGGGTTCCTGTGGGGAGTGCCTGAAGACCCCAGGCTGCCATCGCAGCCCCAAAGGACATCCCACCCACCCCAGGCACCCTGCAGGGTGCAGGCAGTGCATGGCGTTTGGGCCAGTGTGCTGCTGAAGAGGGCTGCTCAGGGTGGCTGGAGAGGTCTCCCCAGGCACCCTCACCCCACCAGCACAGGCCTTGGCTCACCAGGAAGATGCAAGGACTGTGGATGTAAATGCAGATGAGCTTGTGCTCCTCCCGTGCCCGCATGCCGTGCGTGAGCTCCTCTGGGAATCTCATGGCGTGCTTGGGCTGTGCCTTGCTTCGCCCGTTGCTCTTTGCCTGCCAGGAGGGCAGAGAAGGGTTTTGCCACCCAACACCCAGCCAGCCCAGCAGTACTCTAGCCCCACACTGCCCACAAGAGCCACAGGCCTGGGTGGTGCCCTGGCTGCCCCCCGGCACAGCCACCCCAGTTCAGCATCACTCCACAGCATTCCCCAGCTCTGGTGGCAGCTCCAGCCCGGTGCACCACATCCCCAGCCCCACCGGGGTGTCGGAGCTGCTTGTGGACACGCAGGCACTGCAGCTGCTCCAAGTCCCGATGCTGAAGACGAGCACAGGCTGGGGCTGCAGGCAGAAGGACACAGAGAAGTCCACCCCATCTGGCGTGGTCGGGGGACAAGCAGAGGGCATCGCAGCAGGATGCTTTGGGAGGTGCCCCCAGGGTGTCTCTGCTCCCCCAGGTCCCGAGCAGGGGTCCCAGCTGACACATGGGCACCCGCACTGGAGCGAAAGCTGCTTTGCTCAGCAGCAGCTACGCTTTACGAGGAAGGGAACTTGGCTGGAGCGACCCGACCGCAGAGCCGAGGAAGTCTCGCTGCCGGGGCTGCAGGAAGTGCTGCGGGGCTGCCTCAGGACCCCTCTGCTCCGCGCTGCGGAAGCGGCCCCGGCGCTGTCCCCCGTCCTTCGCATCTCCCTCTTTGCTGAGCAAAGCCACGGCTCGGGGCTTCTTGTTTTTGGAAAACGGGATCTTCAGGCCCCAAGGCACAGGGGGCTGGCTGAAAATCCCGGCTCTCCGCTAGCGCGCAGCGGAAGCCCCCCAGTGTCGGCGCTGGGCATCTGCAGCCGGTTTGCCTGGGGCCACGTCTCCCGGGGTTGGGCTTGTGCAAAGCATGCTCAGAAGGTGCCCAAAACCAACCTGCTCCTCATCAACCCCGGCATAGGTGACCGAGAGCCACCCCGGCATCCCCCCTAGGGGGATCCCATGCAGGGAGGAGGGATGGAGGGGCGATGCTGTGTGCATGCTGCAGGCAGAGCCCGGCAGCACAGGGGTACTGACCGCACTGCTGCTGAGGTTTAAACCTTTGAAGCTGTCTGCCGAGACACTATACACGTGGGCCTCGACCAGATTGGTCTGGAAGTGGCATCCCTCCTTGCCGGGTTTGCTGCGGGCTAGCGCCTGCTCAAGCCGATTTAACCTGCAAGGGGAAAAGGAGGGCTTGTGGGACAGGGTGCAGTGCGAGCGGGCCCCTGAGGCTGCGGGGGATATGGAGGGTCTGGGGACAGCAGGGGTGAAGCTGCCACTCACCTGTCCCAGTTGTACTGGGGGTTGCCCTCCTCCAGCCCCACATCCAGGTCCTGCATGCAGCTCTCTATAATCTCTATGTCTGTGAGAAATGTTCTGGGAGCTGAGCCTCAATGCACAGCATCCTTCCCCACTCGCCATCCCCCTCTCACCCCAGTCTTTTCCCATTCCCCTCTTCCCCCCCCAAGCTGGGAAGTCCCAAATGGTCTCCAAACCACCCAGCTAACACCAGCAGGCATCGCCTCCAGACTGCTGCTGGCAGCAAGGTGGCACGGGGAAGATCTACAGGAGATGCCCCTACCTTCGTTTGGCAAGACAGACCCAGCGAGGCAGAGGACAAGGGTGGTCAGCAGCAGGGTGAGCATCTCCGTGCTTTTCTCTGCTCCTGTGAAAGGTACCCACTACCAAGTCCCAGCCTTGGGATCGCACTTGGGAAGCATCCAGCCACTGTCTGGCCAGCCAGGGCTGGGACAGGCTGCCATGCAAATCCCAGTGGTGCTGCCACCTGCCATGCAAATCCCAGTGGTGCTGCCACCCGCTCTGCCGCAGCACCAGGGCTCACTGGGACTGTCCTGGTCCTGAGCTCCCCAGGAGGAATCATCCCCAGCACAAGGGTGGAAGGCACCAAGTAAGATTTGCATCTGTTGCAACACTGTCCTCATATCTGCTCTCGGCTCCTACCGCATGTACAACAACAACCCCAAAAGCAGCAGCTTGCCTGCCGTGAGGGAGAGACCACAGACCTGAAAGTGGTGCACAAATACGTGCAGAAATGTTTGTACTGCCATCAGGGCATAGCATGACCTTTTGCATTGTCACGGCCAGCAGCGACCAGTGCAGCTGGACTTCCCAGAAGGGTTGTGGGCTGGTGATGCCCTGTTGTGCTGACACTTCCCGAGCACCAAGCCATGACTGCCACAAGGCTCTGCCTGCCCATGGCAGCAGCAGCAATGCCTTGGTCAGCAGGTGGCTGCTCCCCAGGCTGTCCATAGTCCCCAGCGCGATAGCAGTTTTTGGCAGCCCACGGCTGGCACTTTGCTGCTACATCCATCCCACTGCACAGCCAGCACCCATGAGGGCTCCACGGGCCATCATTCCCCCAAGACAGAGCCAAGAGAGGAAAATGCTGATGCTGAAGGGAAGGGAGCTGGGAGGTGCAGACACCATGGTGAGAGCAGCTCCTTCCTGTGCTGTGTGCTCAGCCCTGGCCCCAGGAAGCCCCCATGCTGTGCAGGAACCCTTCCCACCCACCAACCCCAAGAAGTCCCTGACTCCTGCAGGGAAGCCCCTACCTGCTGGAGCTGGGCTGGTGGAGCTGCAGCGGTGTTCAGGTGTCTCTGGAGCTGCTGTGTCACAAGCTTGGCGCAGGCACCACAGCGAAGCTGCCGAGCCGCTGGGTAACTGTCTATATTGTGGGTCCGTGCAGCAAAAAAGGAAGTGCTCATATGCAGATGAGAAGATTAAATCAACAGCACTTCCATATTCCCTGTTGCTTATTCTTTCCAGATGCTGTGCTGGGGACCAGGGTCGCAGCTGGCACACCAGGGGCAGTGTCCCTGGTATGGCCAAACTTCAGCGCTGAGGCTGAAGGCCGTGAGGGCACAGGTCTGCCATTTGGTGTGGCCTGAGGACAATTTGCTCCCCAGTCACATTTGATATAATGGGTTTCTGCATCAGATCAGCTTCTCACTGCCTTCTTTCTCACAGCTCCTGTTGAAGGCAGCGTTGATGGAGGTGGGCAGCTGGAAGAGAAGCCCAGCCCAAATTCACGGGCCCTCTGTGAGATGAGTTTGCCTGGACTCAGCCGTGCCAGTACCCATCACTGGGTAACGATGCCACATGGGGTCCCTGGCACCTGCACCCACCCATGCAATGAGTCTCCAGGCCTCAGCCCATGGAGCAGCACAACCACTGGCCTCCATCCTGAAGATGGGAGCCCTTTGGGGTGGATTTAGTGGAGGATTAGTGGGCACAATCAGGCACTTGCTGCTTTTGGGGCAAGCTGTGAATACTGCAAAAGGACATAATGCTGCAGAAGGTTCTGGAGCCTTCTGGTGTCACCATGATGACAATTTCCCAGCAAGCAGTTAAGAAACACTTACAGTATTTCATCTGAGCATTTTCTGAAGAAAATTCAAGAAAGTTCTTGGAACAACTGGCTGTTTCCTCAAACAAGACTTTCAGCTTCATTTTCTTCAAATAACTTCTGCTCCCAGCTAAAAGCAAGAAGTTCACTTCCAGCCTCAATGTCTTTTGAACCTGGCATCAGCTCTTCTTCCCCTCTGCACTGCTCAGTTTGCCAACAAAAAGCTCTGACAGGTTTCCAAGCCTGTTTCAGTGCCAGAAGGGCCAGCAGCTCCGGAAGCAGGTAAAAGTACAGCCCGCCGGCCAGCACAGCAGCGCGGGCCAGCCCCTCCTCAAACTGCCTGCAAAATCATTTTTCTCCAAGGCAAATTGCAGTGAAGGAGCGTGGGAGAGCAAACCCTCTTCCCTGGTGTTTTGAGGCTGCTTCCAGTGGAAAAATACCAGGCTTTGAGGGAAGGGGTGAAAACGTACACAGGCAACTTCAGCTTTGTTTTAACTTGATTTTCCCCGCTCGCCTGACCTGGGGGAGTGTTGGGCATCAGCACCGCATCCCTTCCCATGGGAAACAAGTGCTCAGGGCCACGTACATTTCAGAGCTGTTGGCTGGAAAACCTGCAGGGAAAGGAAAAATATCCAGGGAAAATGGTGTTGCGGTGGTAAGACGATCCAGGAGGGGAATACCATGATGTGAAATGCTTCTGGATGGGAGGACCTGAACATCTTTGGGTGCATCACAACCACCCAGAGTTTCCTGTCTGGTGAAAAGCTGGGCTGGCACTTGTGCCCTCCTTAGGGAGGAGATCAGCTCCAGCAAAGCATGCTTCCTCCTTCCAGTGGCCGCCAGCATCCATATCAAACGGCAATTCTAAGCTTTCCTAGTATCATGTTTTGGAACAAAACCTTTTGGTTAGGGGAGTTGTTGCTTGGTTGGAGCAGGACAGAGCCAGCACTAGGACCCACAGCACTGTGTGGCTGTCCTGGACCTGCTCACCTGCAGGGACCCGTGGCAGGCCATCCCATCACTGCTAGGGCCCTCAAACACAGCACTGTGTCCCACGGAGCAGGGAGGAACCCGCTGAAAACCTCTGCAGTTGAGGCTGGGGCAAGTGATCTTTGGCCAGAGCCCCTAAATGGCAGATCTGGAGCGGCGTGGCACCCCCAGGAGCACACAGGGCCAGGATGAAGATGGGTGGGAGCTGCTCTCACAGCCAGCCTCCGATGCTGCACCTCCAACAGCTCTGTAAGTGCTCAAACCCTCAGACCAAACCTGGCAGCCGCAGCCCCAGACGCACAACCTCAAGTTTGCACGTGAACGCGCCCACACGGGTGCACGCTCCCGAGCAGACCCCAGAGAGCGTGCGCACCCCTGGGCACGCCTCAGTACCCCCGAACAACCCCAAAGTACCGCAAAACTGCCCTGATGCGTGCAGCACCCGCGTGGCAGCACGCCCTTATGCAAACCGTGCACGCCTTGTGCACACTCTTGTGCACACCCTTGTGCAAACCCTTGTGCAAAACCTCGTGCAAAACTTCGTGCAAAACTTTGTGCACGCCCTCGTGCACTCCCAGCCCCGCCGCGGGCCAAGCACGGAGCCGGGTCCCGCCGCCACCGGTCCCGGCGCAGCGCCGCGAGCGTGGCGTGGCCTGGCCCGGGGCGGGGGGCGGGGAGCGGCGGGAGGAGGAGGAGGAGGAGGAGGAGGAGGAGGAGCAGCGGACTCCGCCAGCAGCGCCCCGTGCCGCGCGGGCTGCCCGCAGCTCGGCGGTCCCCGGTGAGCGGGCGGCACCGGGCGGGGGCGCGGCGCGGGCACCGGGCGGGGCGGCGCGGACAACTTGCAAGAAAGTTTGGTGCGGCAGGGCCGGGGGGGTGCGGGGCGGCCGGGACGGGACGGGCTGAGCCGGGCTGGGCTGAGCCGGGCTGGGCTGAGCCGGGCGGCCCCGATCCGAACCGGGCTGTGCCGGGCCGGGCCGTGCCGGGCCGGGCGGGGCGGGGGGCACGAAGGAATGCGGCGGCTCCCGCGGGCCGGGCGCGTCAGCAGCGGGCGGCTGAGTGGCAGCGGCCTCGGCCAATGGGGCGTCGCGGGGGACGGGCGGCTCCGCCCCCGCGGGGAGCCCGGGGCGGCCGGCGGGGGGCGCGCGGTGGGACGGGGCCGGGGGGGAGCCCGCGGGGGCGGCTCCGGTGCTGCGGGGACCGCGGTGCGCGGAGCTGCCCGGTGCCGCGGGACCCGGGGTGCGGTAGCGCTGTGAGCGTCTCAGCCGTCGAGCCCCGGCTGCACCTCCCGTAGGGCTCCTCGGAAGCTTCACTGAGCACCGTCGGAGCGCGGTGCCGCTGCCTGGCGTGGGCACGGCGAGAGGCGCCCCCCGGTGCGCGCCCTGCGGGGGTCCCGGACCCTGCCTGAGCACCCCCGGGCTGCCGCTGCTGGGACGTGGCAGCCGGCACAGGTGCAGGGCAGCCTCGGGTTTGTCCCCTCCGTGGTGGCCGCAGCACGCGGAGCACCCACGTCGTGCCCACTGGAGGCTCCTGGATCCATGCGAGGGCTCCGGCAGCACCCCAGGCCTGGCAGCAGCGGGGTTTGCATGGAGGTGACCCCCGGAGCAGTGCTGAGACCGGCACTGGGTCTGGCTCCACGCTGATGGACTGGCAGGCTGCGGGCTGGCTAGCCCTGGCCTCTGTACTTATCCCATTAGGAGGTGTAGCAACCTCCCATTGAGGTTTCCTGGGTTGGTTTCCCTTTTTGGCAGAGCCCAGGGCTTCCCTGCTGCACCGAGGTCATTTCACAGCTGCAGGCAGCTGGCTTGAGCTTGCTGTTCCCATATTACCGTAGAGTGCATCCTGCCACCTCCGCGCTCATCCTCCTGCCTTCAGAGCTGAGGTGAGCTGGCAGAGCCCAGCCTGGCCCTGTGGTGGTGGGGAGGATGCACCCTGCAGTGCCGGCACTCCACAAGCCCTCTGGTTTCAAGCTGGAGTGCACTTCCAGCAGCTGCTCCTGCCATCCTCCATCCCGCTGGCACCTTTACCCTTTGCAGGAGCTGTCGGGGCTGCAGCTGGGCCCTGTGATTTGGCCAGCCCTGCTCCTGCAGTAACTCTGAGGGGGCTTGAACTCTGGTGTGTTGCAGGAACGGGTCCTGCAGCTGCCCAGGATGGGCAGGACAAGCCCTGGGGTGGGTGCCATGTGGGGCAGGAGGGCCACTGGCCTTGCCTCCATGCCCCTGCAGTGAAATTTCTGACCCCATCCTGCCCCAACCATTGCTGTTGGCACCTGAAGGGGGTGATGGCATGGGGGTCCCATCTGCCCTCTACCCCCCTTGAAAGAGACTCAGGGTGGCAGAACCACCTCCTGCCCCATGTGCATCCCTGTCACGTACCAGGCACTCGGCAAGTGTGAGCTGTGGAGCCAAGCCAGGATAAGGTGCCAGTGGCTGGGTGGTCCTTGCTGGGGACACCACACGCTGGGGACCCTGCTGGGGTCATTACTTGGGTCCTTGCTGAGGTCATCACCAGGAATTTCTCTAAGGATGCCACCGGGGTCCTCAATGGGGACTCGTCTGGTCACATCCCTTGGGTCCTTGCTGGATGCCTTCTTGGGGACATCACTGGGGAATGTCACCAGGGTCCTTGCTTGGGTCATTGCTAGGGACCTCACTGGAGATCTCAAGGCTTTATGTGCCACCTCCCCAAACGAGCCATATGACAGTATCTGGTGCCAGGGGATGCCCCTCAGGATGATCCCAGGAGGTAGGTGGTGGCTGTCCCTATGCCACCACATAGGCCATGCCACCCCCTTCCACCTGAGCATTTCAGCACTTCCCTCTCCAGCCTCTCCTGACACCTCCTCTTTCTCACAGGCCTCCACGTCGGAGGGGACACCCCGACAGCGACGGCAAAGGTGATGCGACTGCCCTAGGGCCCACACCAGGGGGGTCTGCCATGAGCCAGAGCGGGGCCTCGCGCCTGGCCGGCTCACCCCAGCTCCATGGGGGCTCGCTGCTGGCCCTGCTGGGCCCCGAGCGGGGCAGCGGGGGCGAGCTGGCCCCTGCCCCGTCCCCCCCCTCGCCACCCAGCGGGACGCCCTCACCCGGACCCCCACCAGCCCTACTGGAGGGGGACTGGGAGGGCCGGGAAGAGCTGCGTCTGCGGGAGCTGGAGGAGGCACGGGCACGGGCGGCCCAGATGGAGAAGACGATGCGGTGGTGGTCAGACTGCACGGCCAACTGGCGGGAGAAGTGGAGCAAGGTGCGGGCTGAGCGCAACCGGGCGCGCGAGGAGGTGCGGCAGCTGCGGCACCGCCTGGAGGCCCTCACCAAGGAGCTGGCCGGCTTGCGCCGCGAGCGCCAGGAAGGGCTGCAGGAGCGCCAGCAGCTGGGCCGGCAGCTGGCACGCCTCCGTGGCCAGGACCACAGCCCTGACGCCGACACCAATGGGGACGGTGAGGCCGATGCCGAACGGGAGCCCGTGCGCGACGTGGGGGCTGAGGCGCCTCACAAAGCCAAGGTGAAGCTGCAGGCACTGCCCCTGCCAGGGCCGGGGGGAGGCAAGGGGGGAAATCCCAAGAATTGGGAAAAGGGAGGCATTGCAGGAGCTGGGGATGGGAGGGGGGTCCTGCAGACAGTGGGGCCGGATGGCGTGGTGCCATGTAGCAGAGCTCTCCCAGGTGGGGTGGTGCTGCTGAGAGCAGGGCAGGCTGGGGACTGAGCCCCTGGGAACGGTGGGGTGGGGGAGTGTCAGCAGATGGACAGGGTCCTTGTAAGCAAAGAAGATCCTCCTAGGCACCATTGTAGAAAAATCCCCTAATCCCTTTCTAGGAACTCAATGTGCCAGGGTGCCTTTCTTAGGTGCCCGTATGCTAATGCACGCAGGATGAGGAATAAAGAAGATGAGCTGGAGATGTTTGTGCAAATGCAGGGTCATTGTCTTGTTGGGGTCATGGAGACGTGGTGGGATTACTCCCATAATGAGTGTGGCAGTGGAGGGATGCCGGCTGTTCGGGAAGGACTGGCTGGGAGGATGAGGAGGGGCTGAAAGCCTCCGTGTGGGAGA